TAAACGTCTGAGAGGTTTAGCACCGATAATGATTGATGGGTTACTCTGCGTCGGAGGCCGCCTAATGTACTCCGAACTCCCGAGTGCGTCGAAACATCCTGTAATTTTGCCTAGTCGACATTGGGTAACCGAATTGATAATCAGACACTATCACAAGGAAGAAGGACATATGGGAACTTCGCATGTGTTAGCTACGATCCGCAAGTACTATTGGATAGTTAAGGGCACCAGCACGGTTAAAAGAGTAATAGGAAAGTGTGAAACTTGCCGAAGGTTTACTTTGTGTCCAGGGAACCAACAGATGGCGCCACTTCCAGTTTATAGAGTGCAAAAAGGTTGGTATAGTTTCTCGACGACAGGAGTGGACTACTTTGGACCTCTTCTGGTCAAGAGGGGTAGGTCACTAGAAAAAAGATATGGTTGTGTGTTTACCTGCCTGCAGACACGAGCAGTACATATTGAGATGGCATACAGTCTGAATACCGATTCATTTATAATGGCTTTGATACGTTTTATCGGAAGAAGAGGGAGACCGACAGATGTGTTTAGTGACAATGGATCAAACTTCGTGGGGGCAGTCACTGAACTAAAGAGCTTCGTGCAACAGTGGAATCATCAGAAAATTAGTAAGGAATTATCATCAAGACAAATTCAATGGCATTTCAACCCTCCACTAGCCAGCCATAGAGGTGGAGTCTGGGAACGAATGATTAGATCTATACGAAGGCTGCTATTATTGATCACCAGGGAACAGGTGTTAACAGACGAAACCTTGGGTACGTATCTGATTGAAATTGAGAGAATTCTAAACGATCGACCCCTAACCCCGGTAGTCCAGGATGCTAACGACCGACTAGCTCTATCACCAAATAGCCTACTGTTATTGAGAGAATGTGACGGAATAGCTGAGGAAGGAAGTATTAGTGACAAGTTCCACAAACGTTGGAAGCAGGTAAATTATTTAGCCAATGTATTTTGGAAAAGGTGGTTAAAGGAGTATTTGCCTTCCTTACAAACTCGTCAAAAATGGCTAAAAGAGCATCGCAATTTTCAGAAAGGAGACGTAGTTATTGTCGCCTCGGATATTACTACTCGTGGAAAATGGCCCTTAGGAATAGTAGAGGATTGCGAGACAGATAAGGACGGAAAGGTCAGAACGATAGTTGTTCGTACTACTAACGGGGTAGCGAGAAGAGACATACGAAAGGTGTGTCTCCTAGAAGGTTCCAACTAGATAGGTTATATCCATATTGAAAACGGGTAGGCGTACTGCTGTAAGTCCTATTCGTTATTTCGGTGTGGATTAGGGAATGAGAGGGAACCCTAAATTGAAGTGTCATTAAACGCTTGCCTTTTTTGCATGGAGGGATTTTGCGGGCCGGTGTAGAATCTTTTTTGAATGTTTTGTTTTTTGGAAAATCCCTCCATGTTTATATATTTTTGTTATGACATGACGGACTCTTTCTGTTGACATTTTGGTATTTTATTTGATTCCAATTTGAGATTTTATCATTGTATATTGTTATTATTTCTATATTTTGTACTTATATTGAAGTTTTTATGTTTGCTTCTGAACTGTACATATGTTGTTTAAATTTGATATAATATGGCTACAGCCACATTTTTGGATTTGATATCGTTGCGGTATACGAGTTCACCTAGTCTCCGGAACCTGGATACTCATTCAGAGTAATTTTGAATTGGAAGACGTAAAATTCGTTAGGTAACGTTTGTATTTCCATTTATTCTCTATTAATAGACCACTTTCTCCTAGAATTATTGTGTTTTGATATTCTAAATCGGAGGGTGCGTATAACATACGTCTATTGGAATCGAATTGAACTGCTACGGTAGAAAATCCAATTACACTGACTGAAGCATTTTCTTAATCAATAATGTTAGAGATTACAAAATGACAAGATGTGAAAGTATGTTCAAGTTAAAAGTAGATGTATGGTGATATGTGAGGATTCAGATGACTAGATTCTTAACGTGGCGTAACTAATCGCAATCTGGTGCATCCACTTAAATGAGTAACATCAAACAGATGTGTGGCTAGCAAGTCCCATTAGCCAGAAGTCAGTGTCGAAAGTTACAATGACATTTAATTTGAAAATGTGTTTATGTCAGAAGTGTGGTGCGATATTCTGATAGATGACACAACAAAACTGTTTTTAATAATATCCCGATTCGGCAATAGTGAATGTCGATGCATCGAGCAGCAACAGTGCAGAGAGACTAAACGAGCAAAATGACGCCAGTATGTCAGACTTCTAGAAAAGCAGTTTTGAGTCAAGATAAAAGAAGCTGAGCGATAATGAAGAGTTTGCCTAATGTATTCGTAAATCTCCAGTTTTCCCTTAATCCCAAAATGTCGATCGTCCTGCTTTTGCTACAATGATCTAGTTTAGAGTGCCTTATTCACTAAGCATTCGCTTATATCTACTCCTCAATCAGATGCACCTACTCATGGGTTTATACAAAGTAGTGGTGTATTTCACCATGCATGTGGACAGTTCTGCATTGAAAAAATATAAAGCTTGTAGAGTTGGGACGATAACAACTTGTGGTTTTGCCACCGCTTTTTATGGAATTAGGAAATCTAAAACGAGGGAGAGAAGCTGAGACTGACCCCTGTCATATTTAGTAATGGTCGTTCAGTTTCAGCGGTTAGGTTTACAGAAATCTTGAGCAGAATTTCGGGAACTGGACATAATGACATCTGAATGGCCTCAATCACTGACTGTCCCAGTTTACAAGAAAGGACAGACCTCTTGTGACAATCACGGAGGAATCAGTTAACTCAATTAAGTGACTAAAATGTTGGCCTCAATATTACTGGAAGAAATCAGGCTGGTTTCAGACCAGAATGTGGATGGGTAGACCATTAGGTCCTGTAACACAGGCACATTAGGACGTCCCACAATAGTAGTATTTCTTGATCTTTAGGCAGAATCTAACTCTTTTGATCGTGAGGTTTCAAAGCAGTCTTTGTCACTGAAAGAAATACCAAGGATGTAAATACGCTATATTTGTGAAAGAAATACCAAGGATGTAAATACGCTATATTTGAACGACACTGGTCAAGTCAAAGCTTGTGGAGAAATGTCACTAAAATCGATTACCTCAAGTTTTGTTCATCAAGGTTGTCCACATTTCTCCATTCTTGCTTAAATTTGTCGTAGACATGTGGTGCGCGCTACTTATAAGTAGTATATGACGCCAGTGTAAACGTAATGTCAGGCAGCAGAAAATGGGGAAGATCAAGAAAGGAAGAGTGGGAACACAATGCAATTTGTATGAAACGCATGAATAGTGAAATGTCAGACACTGGATTGAAGATTTGCAAATTAACAGTTACGATATGGTTTTCCTATTTTACTGAGTAACTCTGTAATTTTCGTTAAATACAATTCGGTTGTCCTCACCTGCGTCCTCCTTCACTACAGATATGCCTTCAGTGTGAACATTATCTTCGTCCGATATTTCATGGGTGGACCTTCTACCAGCAGACTCGCTTGTTGACTTAGAATATGCCGGTAACATAGTTTTACTTGGTGAAGACGCTGACAAAGTGCAGTCTTCCGAACACCTCAAGCAACAACCCAAGGGTGTTCGGGACGCGATCCACCCCGTCGAAAGGCAAAACAGTGCTTCAGGGTTTGATTATGTCGGCACCTGAACTAATGATAGGGATTAAAGTAGTCGATCTTATAGACAGCTCCACTTAAATTGGGAGTCTCATAAATGCTGATGGTCTAGTGTGTGACGAAACCTCATCACCGACACAGAAGACCCAAGTGGCTTTTGGTAACTTACGTAACTTTTGGCGTAGGTCAGATATCCTTCTGCTAACCAAAGGACGATTCTACGGCGTAGCAGTCCTACCCGTCCTCGTATATCCTAGGAACATTGAATAAGGAATGCAGTTTTAGGAAGAGGGTACTAGGGAAAGATTGTAAATCGACTGGTGAAGTGGATCTTCATCCGTTGAGGTAATCGGGACATATTTTACTCATGCCTAACCACACATTGCCGCGACGAGCACGGTGTAGGTTGGGATAATGCTAGTGGGGGCCAGAGCAGAACTTGGCACAAATCTATTAAGTCACTGACAAGCGGACTGAGCCACGTTGGTAGGTGTAAACTACGAGGTTGGGGTCCGCGACATAATAACCAGTGGTCAGAGTTCCTGAATGACGTGGCTCAAAATCGTTTGCAATGGCGCAGGTGCATTAACTCTTTCTGTTCTCTCAAACAGTAATCCTCCGAATTCCTTATGACTGTTTTCCTCCTAATTTAAAAATTGGTTTTCCTTGGATATACCGCCCGAGTGATGTCTTTGAACATAAGTCTTTTTGACCACCTCTACTACTAAGGCATGTGAACTGATAATTTAATGTGTTAATGTGGTGTAGCAATTCGAACTGATATACTCACCAAGCACCACGCGTTTGCTGACAGACTCAAGTCGGCAGGAACGCTGAGAAGTTGTAAATTATGCCAAGTGCTCCTAAATTTTGTAGACAATCTCCAGAGTAAGTTATTTAAGGCACAGGTTGTTCACAGAATAACTTAAAACTGACACAATTGCACAACTCGTTGTGAACCAACTGATGTTTGTCCATTCACTGCTAGCCTCCCCACCGAGTATTTTAATCCAGTCTGATAATGTAGGAGAGATTTGAGAGGATCTGTTGACCAAGTACTTTTACCGTTAGTGTTTAGCGTTCCTGAGACAGTTGGGTTTTCTCCTTGATCATAATTATTTCTACCAAGGATGATATCTTGACTACATTACTCTGTCAACGATAGCTACTTCAAACTGTCAGATCGTATATATGTCGAGATATCAACTCAGTGAAGTGACACATTTAAGTCCAAGTTGGACTGCGATTGTAACACGATGTACTCCGGCTCCTAAGTCTTCGTTTTTACAGATTCGTACCAAGTCGACTTAATGCACTGACGCTGAAGATATGTAAATCGAATAAGTAATATGATATTCCAGGCGATGGTACAATTGAGAAGCGTCAAGTTCATTTTTTGCCATAAATTTGTTGGTTGACCCGGCATCAATGATATCAACATGATAAACTACTACATGACATAAAAAAGAGTCAGATGAGTTCCTAATGCATGTCATTTGTAGTCCTTTGTCAGGTAACAGACCGAGCTAATATATTTCGTCCCGGAAACATAAATGGTAAAAAGAGATACTTCAAACCGACCACCTGAGACAAGCATTTGTTCACATTGTAAACATATGTAGAGAACTATGAAGGCTGTAGATATCTGAAAATTAGGGTTGGATAAAGTTTACACAGCATACAATCGATCACAAAAACCATGTGGAATAACTTTCGAAAGGTTCTTCCTGAGTGAAACACAATTCTGTAAAGTGACCCACATATGCAAATTAAAAGATGATTTTAGGAAATTTACACAAAAAATTTCATTCTTCATCTAATTCTAAAATAGTTGTTGCAGTTAAGTGGACAGCTGAAAAGTTATGATCTGTTGTACGATTAGCACTAATAGTTTCAGTGTGCTTAGGAGAAATGTTGAGAGATTCCTCTTCATATTTTGAAATAAATTTAGGACTTGATAACTGCGAATTATTAGATTCAGGATCTTTGGTAGGTAGGTTCCCAAGATCAGATTCAGAACGTGAATGTACAGGAACCTCGGCTTCTAGTTCACGAAGAGTGGAGGAATCGTGGGGTGTATTTGCATGATTAGATTCGGCAGAATCAGGATCATTTTGTTCCAAGACCGAACGATCTGTCGAAGGATGAAATAAAAATATTATGGTCAAATTATCAAGAAATGTTAATTGAAATTTAAACTAGGAAACTGTGGAGAATGTTTTTGACAATTGCGATAGCTACATGGTCAAATAAACTTACTGGGATTCTCGCTACAATGGTTAACATCAGTTAACGAACCACTTGATGACATGCATGTGCTAACTACAGGAGAACTGATATCACCATCTATTTTAGAAGGTATGCTTTCGCAATTATTTGCTTGTTTTAAAAATCCATTAGTTGCACGACGACGGCGAGCATCACGTCTGCGGAGATTTCTCCTGTGAAATAAATTATCAATAAAAAAATAATTTGTCTATGTGACGAATGACATTTTAAAGTACGAATACATGATCAATGCTAAATATTTCCATCATGGAAACTACTACAACACATAAGCGAACAAACTTTTTAATTAGATAGTCAAACGAGGCTTTACGTTGATATACAGTCTACCATAGTTTATCAAGTCTTATTTGGCCTAGACAGAGAGAGACAGAAATGTTACGAAGAGACTTGAGATATATAGGCTTGAATCTCCATAGTAGATTTTGCTACATGTGAAACGCGAGGTTAAATCTCGTCACGCCTACTATAATTATCTCTGCAGGAGCAGCTGAATTAGCAGATAAACATACAAGATGCCATATAAGGTAAGTTATCTTTCTTTTGAATTGTTGTAAACGCGGCTACGTAACTCTTCAGTCCTAACGGCGTCCAATTCAAATATCAAAATACGACCCAAAAGGCTTTTCCAAATCTCCTAGAAATCAGAACGTAACACCGTGGAAGGAAGATGTTTATTGGGTCGTAAACAGAAGAAGTAGGCAGGGGAAACGGAATCGTTCAGTCTGCCAGATAGCGCGTATTTATACACTAAGGTCGAATAAGAAAAAGCATCAACGTCCGTGACATTGACAATTTAGGACGACCAATGGAAAAGAATATTTGAATGACATTGACCGTCCAGATGACCAATAAGAGGTAACATTGAAGTATTTGACCCTGACGGTAAGAACGATCAAAATTTCGGCCAATAGGATTGCAGTTCTAAAAATAGTATTCTTAGGATATTTGGTGAATATCCTAACACGAATACAAATGAAAGTCAAGAAAGTTTGAATCTATTGAGATTTGACAAAAATGGTTTTAAAAGTATTGATGTCGGATTACTTGTTGAACACTTATACTTCGTAACACTGAAAAACCTCTCGCAAATGTAACACGTGGTCACAAATATTGTTTGACGGTTACTGAGATTTTCTTTTTACTCAGAAAGAAACAAAAGTGTGAGTTCAAACCTTCGACTAAATGGTCCATATTATAACATCTAGACTTCTAAACTGCCCTGGAACATAACAGTAATTAGAAGATCATCAATAAACTTCATTGATAGATGAACAAAGACGAATAATAATGATTAAAATTAACGTCCAAGCTACAGTTGAAAAATATCTGAAACTCCAAAAAACTTTCGACCAAAACCACAATTTTCAATACAAATGTGAAGACAGTTCTACTGTATGGAGCGGAAACATGGAGAACTATCAAAGCCATCATCCAGAAGATACAAGTATTTATTAACAGCTGTCTACGCAAAATACTTCGTATTCGTTGACCAGACACCATCAGCAACAACGAACTGTGGGAGAGAACAAACCAGATTCCAGTGGAGGAGGAAATCAGGAAGAAGCGGTGAAAGTGGATAGGACACACACTACGAAAAGCACCTAACTGCATCACGAGACAAGCCCTCACATGGAACCGTCAAGGCAAAAGGAAAAGAGGAAGGCCAAAGAATACATTACGCCGAGAAATAGAGAAAGATATGAGAGGAATGAACAAACATTGGACAGAACTGGAGAGAGAAGCCCAGGACAGAGTTGGTTGGAGAAAACTGATTGGCGGCCTATGCTCCATTGGGGGTAACAGGCGTAAGTAAAAGTAAGTAAGTACTATACTTACCGTATATTGTGCAATGTATGATGCAGTGTTTCTACAGTATCCCCAGGAGAGAAATCCACATGTTGATCACGTTGACAGAAACTCACTGATCGTTGTCTACATAGAGGTAAATGATTTGTTGTTCCTTCTAATAATAATAATTTATCACTAGATATACTTCGTTGAAAATCAGATGATTTGAATACTTCTATATCATGATTTTCATCATTATACTCTGTAGGAAATTCATCTGATATTAAAGAATGTTGTCTAGTAGTACCGGCTAAACCAGCATCACGTAAAATATTACCTTCTAAAATAATTGTTTCATCAACGCTTGATTCTGAAACAATAAATAATAAATGAAGAAATGAAAGAGAGTAAAAAGAACAAACATGATGAAGGTAACAATAAATTAAACCTTAAAAGTCATAAAATAGTTTAGGACATGTTAGGACATGTGTTGAGTACACCTAATCACCGACTGCCTCGTCGAGCTGTGTTTTGCGATGTAGGAATAGGTTGGAAGAAAGTTAGGGGAGACCAAAACAAAATATGGCACAAATGCATGAAATCACTAACAAGTGGACTGAGTCATGTTGGTAGATGTAGGCTACCTGGTTGGAGTCCGCAAGACGAAAGTCACCAATGATTAGAGACCTTGATTGACATGGCTCAGAATCGTTTGCAATGGCGCAGGTGCGTTCATTCTTTGTGTCATTTTGCACATTGAAATCATCAATCGATCATTGTTAGACCACAATTAGAAACCTGAAAGCACTGACGACTGTTTCGTCCTGGTATGGGACTCATCAGCAGTGCGCATCCACGATTCCTGTAGCTCAAAGGATTCGAAATCAGGACCTTCAGTCTTGCGCGCGAACGTAAATTCCTCATCACTTTTGTCTTTTGCTTTGAAGTTAATTTCACTAGCTTCTGGTTCTTCAATAATTTCCTCGAACCCTAATCTTTGAAACTACTGCTAATACTTCTATATACGTACGTACGAAGTTCTATGTTGTTGTTGACTGACTTACTGACAGGTCTTCAAAACAATAATCACATATCAAAAACTCTAAATGACAATTAGTCCACCTAAATACTACACGTAATATGTATACTTCCAATAATCTCTCATTATGATAAGTCACAATCAACGAATTTGAATCTGTTTGTATCATTCAAGAAGTATAATGACTATCAACTTCCTCTAGCTTTTATACGATGTAGCCAACATACTTTTAGCACAAAAACGATATTGGTTTCGATTTTTCAAAAAAAAAATTACTATGAACTCAATCTACACATAGAATGTTGACAGTTAACATTTGCCAGGGACACACCATGAGTGTTAAACTGTATTATGAATCGGAAACCTAGGATGTTGAATCTCAACTGAATGATTCGAAAACAACGTACTGTAAGATTTGAATTCAATCTAATATGATACTGTAGGTGTGCACAATGTGAAAGATATAACATGGAAGTCCAGTACTTGTCAGTTTTAAATAGTCCTCTATGTGATGATCAAAACGACATTAGAGTCGAATTAAATTTTAAATATCATTCAAAATAAACGAAACTAAAAGTTTAAGACTGAGGTAATTCATTTTGTAAGCCATAACACTGCACCAAATAATCAGATGCCTATTGAAAAACGTACATACAGAATTGAGATGGTGGAGAAAACTTGTAGCTCAAGTGGATGATTGTAGTGGCGTTTCGTTCTCTGAGGCAGATGTTTTGGTTTTGAAGCTTTCATTGTTCTTCTAAACAGCATCATCAGCACAAACTTCAGATACCAGTGAAGTATTTGAATTTCTCCACGTTTGACTCGTAGCTTGTTTTGTTAACTTCGATCTTCATTAGTTGCTGTTGACCTTAAAGCTGTCGTTGTTTGCACATTTGTTTTGATTGTATCCCCATTTTGATCTGTTTCTTGACTCTATTTCGCCTATAACTTTTCTGATTGGTTCGTAAATTGGGTCAATGTCGATGTGTTTGTTTATTGCTGAATGACTGAGTGCAAAGCCTCTAAAAATCCTCTAGTGTTCTTTGTGCTCCCCCTATATCCAATAATTCTACATTGTTCCAATAGAATGTATGTCCATAATTGTCAGTGTGTATTGATATAAGCGAAGAATTATCGTGGCGTTTGACTGCTAATTGGTATTTACGTAAACGAAGCTGAAGAGGCCGTCTACTTTGTCCTACGTAGGGTTTTTCACAATCTGAGCAATTTATTTTGTAGATGATATTTGGTTTATCTTCCTTTGTCATTTTGTCCTTTGGTCTACATAGGATTGATTGAAGTGAAGTGGGCGTAGCACACAAACCAACATGCTTTGTGTGCTACGCCCATTCCAAATGATCCGTTTGTCGGTTCCTGTACTTGATTTTGCTTCTGTTGACAATTTCAGTTGATGTACTCTGATGAAGTTGCATGGATAGCCGTTCTTTTGGAAGATGGTGATTAGATAATTTTCTTTGCCTTTTTTGTGCTTCAAGTGTGCTGCAGTGACTTCGTTCTCTTGAACAACGTTTGTACGCAGTTGATTTTGTGAGTTCTTAGGTTATAGCTGCTGTAGTTGAGAATTAGGTCTGTGTGGGTTGGCTTTCGAAATATTTCGGTTTCCAGTTCCCCTATGTCAGTTCTAGTGATTAGTACATCTAGAAATGATTGACTGTTGTTTGATTCCTTTTCCATCGTGAATTTTATGTCATCGAAGACGTTGTTGATCCGATTGCAGACGTTTTCCAGCTCGCTCCTTTTAATAATGACCAATATGTGATCTGTAAAGCAAACTCATATTTTTGGCTTAATCACTGGCAAAACCGACGCTTTCAGTCTCTGCATTACAGCTTCCGCAATGAATCTTGATATTAGTGATCCCATTGGTGTTTCTTCCGTTTGTTCGTAGATTCTGTTGTTGAATTGAAAATACGTTGTTAAACATAGATCGATGAGTTCTAGAAGACTGTGACTCTGAAGTTTCGTATATTTGTGAAGATTTGTGTCGTTGGTGAAGATTAGGGATAGAGATTTTTTTTAGCTAAGCTTGGCTGTTGTTACGTCGAAGGATATCATCGTTTCGTCGTTGTCGATTTGAATCCCCTTGAGCTTATTATCCAAGAATACTTCACTTCTCTATCTGATGTTTGTGCTTGTGATGTTGTGTTCAGGAGAAGAACATTGAAAGCTCCATAACTAAAACATCTAGCTCAGAGAACGAAAAACCACCATGTTACATATAGAATTCACAAAAGATATACTGTAAATAATAGGTACATCATAAACAATATCACAATGACAGCATAAACTTGAGTGATGTTATTTACCTGATATTGAACGTTGTTTCAAAATACTTTTTAATACTGATCCAGTTTGACCAGGATTACCAGGAGTTGAATTATACCTATGACGTTTGACAATAAACTTATTATTATTATTATTATTACTCCTATTATTATCGTTAATTACATGTAATTTGTCAGGATGTTCATTGATTAAATTCGACTGATGATTAGACGCAAAACAAGAGTCATTTGTTTTTGTGATATTACAGCTAGAATCGATTTCCGCATTGACAGATTCAACAGTAGGATCCCATTCTATGGAACAACATTCATTTGATAATGAAATGACATTTATCGACTTTAAACTTTGTTCATTCAATAATGTACAGTTTTTGTGAATTGATTGATTATTGATAAGTTGAGTAGAAGGGAAGACATCATGTTGACAACAATTATTGGAAGTTTTATTAACATTAGTAGAGAGAAAATTATTATGCCTAGGATATGATGTGAATGCTTCCATTCCAATAAATGAACACTCCTAGACAAACAACATAAAGGAATAATAGTAGTAATAATAAATTTGAAATACATGTATATACTAAACGAAGTACTTCAAAGACTCGACTTAATGAGTTTCAAAAATTAAATTTCGTTAAAATTCCAATTGATCAAAATCCATTTATCAGTGAATTTAGAGTAATAACGAGAACAAGTTAGTCAGTCAGATGCAACATAGAACTTCGTACGTAAGTACATCAGTTCATGTTGCCATACCACATCACAACAGAGATATAATTTTCAATTCAAATCCAATAGTAGTAGAGGTAGTAAGGGTATTAGAAGTAATCAGATAGGTTAGGATGAGAAGATACTATTCAAGAAGTATGATTAAATGAGAAAAGTTTAGAAAGTCAAAACTAGAGGTGTTGAAGAAACCAGAAGATTAGGATTTGAGAGAACACAAAGAATAAATGCACCGTCGCCATTGCGAACGATTTTGAGCCATGTCATTCAAGGTCTCTAACCATCGATTATTATCATCTCGCGGACCCCAACCAGGTAGTCGACAATTACCGACATGGCTAAGTCCATTTGTCAATGATTTCATGGATTTCTGCCATGTTTTGGTTCGGCCGCCCCTAACTTTCTTCCAACCTACTCCTACACTAAAAAACAAACCTCGACGAGGCAGTCGGTGGTCGGGCATACGCAACACATGTCCCAACCACCTCAACTGATCAAGTTTCAATACTTCATCTATTGATCTGCCATTCTTACCTAGCACCCGATTCCTAATAACAGCGTTGCTCACTCGGTTGTCCCACGATATACGAGCAATGCTTCGAAGACACCTATGATCGAAAACCAGTAACCTACGAATATCTTCTACTCTCACTGGCCATGTTTCACAGCCATAAAGTAAGACGGAGCGAACTACTGAGAAGTACACTCGTCCTTTAGTCAGCAAACGGATATCTCGCCTACGCCATAAGTGACGCAGGTTGGAATAACGAGAACAATCGATACTAAGAACTTCAATTTTATTATATTTAATTTAAATTTAGAATGTTGAAGAACCCTTTGATGCACTTAGAACCAGTGATAAACAAATGTGATATACTTGCTATATAGTGGTGGTGCTGATAATATACCCTGGACCTTGATTTAGTGCTGTTTGGCACTTGTCAACAAAGTGTACTTGTTATCTTGAGAAAATTGATACTCCTTAGCGGATTATATTCCCAATACAGTGTACGCGATGTCGAGTAACCTAGATACTAATAGCTGCATTGTGAATAATTGGTTGATAGAATCTGATCAGCATTAAGAACTGTGATATAATTCATTAGCTAATGATCAATAAGTTGGGAATACTTGCTCGAAACCTATTTTGAAAACCGATAGGAAATGAAAGTTCAGTTTCAAGCCAAACAATACAGTAAGTATAGAATTGAAGAGATTCCTGTCATATAAACAGAGATGGATATTGACTAGTAATGAAATTCGTGATGCTCGTTTCATCCTATTTGAAAATCATCAGCTGGTTGTATATGCATTCTAGGGTAGCTGTTTACTCCGAGACTCGAACTCAGTTCCAACCGCTTCACATGCCATCGCGTTATTCACTTAGCTACTGAGTTCAGAGCTTGGATTACGTTAGCCTAAGGTTAATTAAGCAGGTTAGAACGCATAACTAAATTAGTGAAATATAGAAAGCTAAGCTATGAAAAGAAAAGAAAAAACACGGAATTGAAGAAATTATCATCAAAATTCTGATTGGTGAGAGAAGATATTCGCAGGTTACTGGTTTTCGATCATAGGTGTCTTCGAAGCATTGCTCGTATATCGTGGGACAACCGAGTGAGCAACGCTGTTATTAGGAATCGGGTGCTAGGTAAGAATGGCAGATCAATAGATGAAGTATTGAAACTTGATCAGTTGAGGTGGTTGGGACATGTGTTGCGTATGCCTAACCACCGACTGCCTCGACGAGCTTTGTTTTGTAGTGTAGGAATAGGTTGGAAGAAAGTTAGGGGCGGCCAAACCAAAACATGGCAGAAAACCATGAAGTCATTGACGAGTGGACTTAGCCATGTCGGTAATTGTCGAATACCTGGTTGGGATCCGCGAGATGATAATAATCGGTGATTAGAGACCCTGAATGACATGGCTCAAAACCATTTGCAATGGAGCCAGTGCATTTATTCTTTGTGTTCTCTCAAATTCTAATCTTCTAGATTCTTCAACACCTCTAGTTTTGACTTTCTAAACTTTTCTCATTTAATCATACTTCTTGAATAATAATATCTTCTAATCCTAACCTCTCGCATTACTTCTAATACCCTTACTAACTCTTCTACTATTGGATTTGAATTGACAATTATATCTCTGTGCTAATGTAGTGATATGGCAACATCAACTGATGTACGTGTGTACGTACGAAGTTCTACGTTGCAACTGACTGACTGACTGATTGGTGTGACTTTAGTATATGATTAACATTTCAAGTAATAACAATGTTACACATTATCAAAAAATAGCAATTCAACTTACTTGCATACCACCGGTTAAAGTACGCCCAGTTGCAATGGATGCCCACCAAACAGCTCGATTTGATAACATTTCACTAGAGAATTTTTTATTCATAGACAAATCATCATCATCATAATTACATGAAGGTTTACGAATAATCAAAACTCCATTTGTCGGAGAAATATGACAAGATATTATCTGTGGTGGTGCTGGTGGTGCGGAAGATTCACCAGATCGATGCGAGTTAAGTGAACCAATAACACCATTAAGTGAATGCTCAAATTTATTATTGAATGTCACAGAAGATGGACAGTGTAACACAATGCCCCAATCCATAGTAAATCCACCAGATCCACAACTTGAAAAAGTAATCAGTAGTAGTAGTGAAAGGAGTCGAGATGATGATGATGGTGATGGCGATGATGATGATGATGAATCAAGCATATCAGCATTATCGGATGATACATTGAAATCCATCGGGTTAGTCCAATTTATTACAATTGAATTAGGCAAAATACCTCGGACATCCAATAAAATAGTTAAAGAAAATGGATCTTGTCGAAAACGAACTGGTGCTAAACGTCTGTTAATTTAAATAAATATAGAAAAATAAATTATGTTAAAAAATATCTTTGAAAATTATAAATAAATATGTTTGTCAAAAGTGTTTTGATAAAAAATTTCACTAAATATTTCTTAAAATTTTCTCCTATCAGAACTATCGTTTCACATAGCAAATTACATCTTTAAAGTAAGTTAAGAATAAGGCGTATCTGGGCAGCATCATCGACGAGAAAGGTGGATCGGATGCAGATGTGAGGGCGCGGATTGGCAAAGCGAGGGCTGCATTTCTACAGTTGAAAAATATCTGGAACTCCAAACAAATATCAATCAACACAAAAATCAGGATTTTCAATACAAATGTGAAGACAGTGCTACTGTATGGAGCGGAAATATGGAGAACTACCAAAGGCATCATCCAGAAGATACAAGTGTTTATGAACAGTTATCTAAGCAAAATACTTCGTATTCGTTGGCCAGACACTATCAGCAACAACGTACTGTGGGAGAGAACAAACCAGATTCCAGTGGAGGAGGAAATCAGGAAGAAGCGGTGCAAGTCGATAGGACACACACTACGAAAAGCACCTAACTGCGTCACGAGACAAGCCCTTGCATGGAATCCTCAAGGCAAAAGGAAAACAGGAAGGCCAAAGAACACACTACGCCGAGAAATAGAGAAAGATATGAGAGGAATGAACAAACATTGGACTGAACTGGAGAGGGAAGCCCAGGACAGAGTTGCTTGGAGAAAACTGGTGGGCGGCCTATTCTCCATTGGGGGTAACAGGCGTAAGTAAGTAAGTAAGTAAGAATAAGGCGTATTAATGTAATCATTGTCAACAATTCAGAAGAGAGAATAACCTATACCATCAATAAAGAGATCTAAACGATGCTTAAAACAGTTTCTTTAATTCTCTCTCTTCAAATTTCCCTGCTAACTTAGTATGTGCCAACAGCTTATAAAGGAAGGATCTTCATTTTATTGGTTTAATACTGACGACTAAATTTAATAAGTTTTAACCTGTGTAGTCAATTTCTCAAAAACAAACTAAGCTATATTCACTAGAAAATCAGTACGCTCATGACATAAACAACAGGCTATGATGTTTTTTCTACAGCATCCAAGTAAGGCATAGAAAAATGCAATCTAACTAGATCAGTGACTGTTCGATGAAATGAATACGATCGATTACCAGTGTTACACACATTTGCACGTGTCAATTGAAGTACTCAGAGAATGTGGAAATCTCACATGATTTTCAACCTTGCATAGACAGTACAATTGAATTCTGAGATAAGAATACAGAAGTAATGTAACCGAAGTCAAAGGAATTATCCTAGATGGATGATCATCTGCTTTTTATCAAGTTTTTATCCATCTAACTTGCCATAACAAGAGTAGCTATGTATTACTTAGTCAGTAAATAAAAACAGTGAGAAATCACACTTCTAGTAATCTAAATATTTAGGTAAAACAGATCTGTACACTAGTAAATGTGATCATTTACTGATAATATATATTTCGATAATCACTTGTTTTAGGTCAACATAAAGTTTAGTGTATGTAGTGTGTATTTTTTTTTCCTGGTTGGCGTTGTTTTAGCGAGTTAGTTTTCTACTGGATGGGGTCACTAATCCCATTCCCAACTCTTCTCCTTCATCCGGGTTTGAGACCCACAAGAACCCCAGAGAGGCTCCAGGCTGCTCGATGAAAAATACTATGGATCCGTAGGCCAGATACCATCACTATGTGACAAATTAAGCCAGATTCCAGTGGAGCGAGAAATCGGGAAGAAGCGCTGGAAGTGCAAGACAAGCCTTCACTTGGAATCCTCAAGGTCATTGGGAAAGAGGAAGACCAAAGAACAAATTACGCTGAGAAATGGAGACAGAAGGAGAAGAATGAACAACAATTGGACAGAAAGAGAAAGGAAGGCCCAAGACATAGTAGATTGAAGAATGCAGATCAGCGATCGGCTGTCTATGCTCAATTGGGGGTTATAGGCGTAAGTAAGCGTGTAGTAGGAGAATAATTGCAGTCATTATTGACAGCAAACGTAACTTTCTTTGAAAGTTGTCAGGATGATTCAACAAGTTTATTGAGTATGCAGGAATACATGGACTTGTTGAAACATTCTACTCAAAGGTTTACAATAAATCTGATTAATTTAGAATGCTAAAAACTTCATTCAATTACTTCCCTCACATTTGTACATATTAAAAGTAAGTTTATAAAACTGAAATCAAGTCAATTACACAGAAAAAAACTGGTTTAATCTTATGGTTAATGCAGCAGTAGCAAAGTATACGAACATGCAATCGGTTTTGATATAAAATGGATTGCACGAAGGTTATTAATATTCAAACCAAGCATGTACATCACCAAAGTTATATTCACACAGATAATTAACAAAAGAATTCACATTTATGCTATAATAATAACAGTTTAAAAAAATAAATCGCTTAATAGTACTCCAGAGATAGGATGCATTACCTATCTTTGGATAAAATCATTTCACAACTTGAAATCTGGTTTACTTTGATTTCAACGCCAGGAGAAGTTGATAAACTGATAACTGTAGATGGTAATGTTTGAGACTTTGTAATCTTGTTAACGTTTTCTTTGTTTTGCTCAATTTCCGACAAACTTTCATGTGTATTTGTTAATTGTTCAGATTTGTTTTCTGTCTGTATTACAGACTTATCAACGTCAACAACAACAACAGCAGCAGATGGCGATAAATTAACATTAGAACATTTTGAAGATGTAGATCCACCACCACCGTCAGATGAAGCATCTATTGAGCTTTCTGTAACAATTTTTGATTTAGTTCGTCGTTTTCGACGTTTTTTACGTGAATGTTTCCCAGTTGTTTCATTTGGTGTAACTGATTCATGATCAGAAGTGTTTGTTGTAGAATTGTACTCAATAGTTTTTGTTTCATTTTCTGCGTCTTTTTCATCATGACTATTTATACTACTAACAACAGGCTTATAAGTAGCTGCTGCTGACTCCATATTTTTAATAATTGGCAATGTGACACATAAAGTGTGAGTAGATTTATCAAATTTTGCTGTCCCATCAGCATCGTTCACTTCATAAGGTAATTTTAAATCAAGTAAATATGCAATTGGTTTGTGACTCTGCAAAATTTATTTTCCAAAATTAAAAAAAAAAGAATGATTTTAAAACAGAATGATACATAACATTTAAAAGATGCTTTGAAAAATTAATAAGTAGTATGAAGTAAATTATCAAAATAAAATCAAATGATTAGTGAAATAGAAGTTGGCTGTGAGTTAACCATCGTCTACGTTCATTTAGATTGAATTAACTGAGTTTCCGAAAATAATTACAGTAATGTGGTTCAAAACTATAACTTACATCAATACTAATGTGTTCTAAAGACTTAGAAATCGACTGATGGTCTGGACAGAGTTAAAGCATGGAAGCTTACTAGACGTAGTTTATTTGAAGAAAAAAGGTTTAGTTCCTTAAAACAAACAAACACTGGTTAAAATCTTGCCATCACGAGTATTCACAGGTTTTTTGCCAGATAGGCTGTCAATTGTCATTTATGCTATCATGAAATGTGACAACTTGAATATTATGGCCCTCTGTGGAGTCCACACTTCGTTTTACTTGAGTACTTGTTAGCAGGATTTACCTGCACCCAAGTGTCGGTGGGACTTGAACTCAGTACATCTAGCTAAGTTCCAAGTAGGATGAAATGCGCAAACAGGAATTCACTGTTAGTTATATTGATAGCAGCTACATCAGCTAGGGTATAATAAAAAACCAGGGAGTAGTAAAGACTTATTTTAACATATTTTGAAATCGAAATGTGCAAGCAGTCAGAAATCTGAAGGTGACACCATTATCCCGCCACCGAATCAGATAATTCTTGACATAAAACGATTATTAGTCACAAGAATCTTCTTCCATTAAAACTGGGTAGTTGGAAGATTCTGCAAACTAATTAATTCTGTATCATAGATCGATACTGTATGAACAATGATCAGAAAACATAGATATTTGTTAAAATTTAGCGAGTTGTAACTTTAGAATTTCTCCCAACTGAGAGAGAGAAAAGTAGACAGTTTCCAACCACAACACACGCACCATGATCTGATGAGATATTTTGATCATTTGTCAAAATAATCTTTTAACTACTACTAAACTTTGTATGTGAAATTGAATAAGTTTGAATCGATAATTTGCATTTTTTTTTTATTCTTGCATTCTCATAAATGACATCCATTGTCTAAAAAAAACAGCTTAAATTTCTCAAATATGATTGAAATTTCATTGTTTTTTTTCATTCAACATTCTTAAAATAATTTTTGTCGAATAAATGAATAATGACTCATTCATATTAATAACTACTCAATACATACATACTTTCATGACAAACTTATTCAAATAACACTAAATGCTCAACGATCAAGTTTTAAATAGCCTTAAAGTTTTCTTATCCTTACGTTTCGTATAGATTGGATTTGGATTGCAGCTTAATAAATAAAACTGTATTCAACTATTTAGATGTAGCTAGTCATGTTTATGCCAATGATCAATTCGTCAGTTGTTCATGTCTATAAATAATTTGGAATTAATGATAGCTACATTCTACACATTCAATGGAAATAGACAGACAGACAGATACAACGCAGAACTTCGTACATAAGTACACCAGTTCAGGTTGCCATACCACATCAGCACAGAGACGTAACTGTCAGTTCAAATCCAAGAGTGATAGCGATAGTAGAATTATTAGCAGCAATGGAAAAGATTAGGGAGCAAAGATATGATTCGAAAAGTATAATTCAGTGAGATAAATTTAGAAGGAGAAAGATACAGATTATGAGGAATTCAGAGGGTTACAATTGAGAGAACACAAAGAACAGATGCATCAGCGCCATTGCAAACGATTTTGAGCCATGTCATTCAGGGTATCTAACCATCGATTATTATCATCTCGCGGGCCCCAACCAGGTAGTCTACATCTACCAACATGACTCAATCCACTTGTCAGTGACTTCATGGATTTCTGCCATGTTTTGGTCTGGCCACCCCTAACTTTCTTCCAACCTATTCCTACACTACAAAACATAGCTCGGCGAGGCAGTCGGTGGTTAGGCATACGAGACACAAGTCCCAACCACCTCAACTGATGAAGTTTCACTACTTTATCTATTGATCTGCCATTCTTACCTATAACTCGTTTCCTAACGACAGCATTGCTTATACATTTGTTTCAGGGATAGACGAGCAATGCTTCGAAGACACCCATGATCGTAAGCCAGTAACCTACGAATATCTTCTAATCTACATGGCCATGCTTCGCATCCATATTGTATGACAGAGCGAACTGCTACGTAGTACACTCGTCGTAAGACGGAGCGAACTACTGCGCAGTACAATCGTCCCTTAGTCAGCAAACGGATATCTCGCCTACGTCATAGACGACGAAGGTTGGTAAAAGCCAATCGAACTTCCTGTATCCGAGCTGAGATTTCGTCACACACCAGGCCATCAGCGCTGATGAGACTGCCGAGGTGAGTGAACCGGTCTACACATTCAACTACTTCACTCCCTATCACTAGTTCAGGTACCTATGCAAGCCAATCTTGAAGCAACATTTTACATTTCAACGGGGAAAACTGCATTCAATGGTTATAACTTTGATATACTTGAAATAATGTATAGATAGATATATGTAGTAAACAGCTATTACATAAGAATCCAGAAAAGTATACAGAGAGTAGATTCAAAAGTATTCGAGTATAAATTATTTTGTAAATGCCATAGAATCCTACCTATTGCATATCAATTGTTTGATAGTCACTTAAGATAATTCATTAATAAAGAACGTCAAATTTATTACATTTACACTGAATATCAGTCATTCAAAAAAGATTTATTCTTACTTTGCTATACTGACCTCATTCAGAAGTACTTGTTGAACAATTCTTCTTTCCATGACACTTATCTGACCTATACTCAGTTAGTCAATTCTGTATTAAAGATTATAACAACTATTTTATTTCTAAATAAGTTTTTTTCTATGTATTTAGTTCTTTATTCTAAAATATTTTTATATCCAACCCACAAACTTTCGCATTAAGCATATATAATTAGCGTTTACAATGTTTAATCACTTTTATTGTTCCTCTTCTGAGTCTTTATTAATGAAAGCGTTTCCGATATTATGATATAAAGTTTATAAGCTGATTTCTGAATGATTGATACTCTTATGTTTAAGCTGTAAGCAACTGATGATGAGAAATCGAAAATTATGATGAATTCATGTTATTATACCACGTTCAGTGTTCTTGTTTGAGTTAATTTTAAAAAAAATTAGAAAAGTTTTAAGAAGGTACATACTTGTGCTATTGTGTTTAGTGTGATTGCTTTAGTCACATTCTGTGAATAATTTGTTGCAGTCAGTCAGTCAGTTGCAACGTAGAACTTCGTACGTACACACGTACATCAGTTCATGTTGCCATACCACATCAGCACAGAGATGTAATTGTCAATTCAAATCCAATAGTAGAAGAGGTAGTAAAGGTATTAGAAGTAATCGGAGAGGTTAGGATGAGAAGATATTATTCAAGAAGAAGTATGATTTAATGAGAAAAGTTTAGAAAGTCAAAACTAGAGGTGCATTAACATAATGTAACTTCGTACAACTTCGGCTATTTACAGATAAAATTAATTTTTAATTTAAAAAAATAGCCCAGTAATTCTTCGCAGATTTCTGTACTTAACATCTACAGCCAATTCTTTTATATGACAGCTACAGATACTATGCAGTAAAACGGAGCCGACCAAATTGACAAATGACATTAAGATTCAGGCAATACAGACTAACCTAAACATCGGTTATCAAAAATACGAAGCTTCAAAACCCAATGCCACAAAAACCGCACAAGTCAGATTGTGCATATAATCTAAGGTTCACAACATAGTGAAAACAAAACAGCTTTTGCATAGTCACAATTAGCCAGACTAATTTATCTGTGCTAGTAGTTACTTAATGGCTCCACAAGGAGGAAACAGCGAAGTAATTCTAAATAGGTAAAAAAAACGAGAAACTAAGAATGGTTGCGGGCGAAGAAGAGAGGCTAAAAAGTTGCAAACTATGATAGAGTCAATACATTGTTATAGACAAATCACATGTAAAACAACATTTTAAAAACGTACACCTACCATTAAATGCCGGTGATCACGCCCAATGCACTAGTTTGATGTAACCACTTCCAAGTCAAACACCATGAAAGAGTGAACGTATAAGGCCCAAGGCAACCTAAATCAGATCATTGCATTTTTAAACGACGTCATAGCGCCTGTGCTATGCCGCAACGTACAGTCGAAGCGGGTTCACCAATCATAATAGATAAAAGTACACAAGTTCAACTTAAAGCACCGGCTGCACGCAAAAATCTGAACTGTGGTCACAGGTTATAGAAAATAATCTAAGATATGTAGTGGATCGACTACGCCGCACGAAACTTGTAATACTAATATCCTGATTCAACATAGCTAAATACGTAAAGAATTTAGCAAATAAAAAACAATATAATGTATAGGAGAATATGTACACAACGATTAATCGACTACGGTAGTGAGAATTACCTAAACAGAATAGTTTATGGGTATTTGTTATGATCGGCCTAGTAGTATGCAATGAATTTTTCATAAGATAACTTCCAGTGGCTGATCCTCTCAGTACATATGATGTTAAGTATCGTGTTAGAGCAAAAACATCCTGGCATATCACTAGGAAGTAAGAGCGACCAATGCTGCTCACACACAATGATAAGAGATCACAAGTCCCGACACTATAACACCGTCACAGTACTGTTAGCTGTGAACTATAGAGCAATTCTGGATAACAATGCAACGACCTAATGCTGATGTCAGGAGTCCGTTGGGTATAAAGCCGTAATCACGTGGGAATCAGTATAGACTGAGGTCTATGCCCAGCAAGGCGATGTGGCGTTACTATGCATGCTGGCACGATAGCGGACACATGATACAATAATACAGTGTCCTTTGTTCTATTCACATAACTGTCCTTCTCTAAAGAGTCCTTGAATCTCCCAATATCCTATTCGACAATGTCAAGTATTATTATCCGACGTGATGTTTTTCAAATCAATAATTGGCTAACAAAGACTCGAGCAATATGACCGCTTAATCACCGTGAACCTTGTATACATCGGTGACCTACTGAATAATTATGACAGATTAATTCGCTCATTTACAGCTTTGTTACCTATAGTTGTAGGCCGTTACTTTTGTGGGCTAAATGAAAACTTAGCGACGACTGAAAAGACAGATTTGGTCTATGTGTACAATGGCTACCACTAAGGCCCCTTGTTATGGTGTTTGAAATTTGTATAGTTCTGTATCCTGTTCTTTTAGCCACTATTACACTTTTTTTTACTAGTTTATTTAGCAACAGTTTT